AGTACAATGAGATTAATATATATAGACAAACATAATTAGGGTTATCTCCTAATCAAGGAAACTAGGGTAGAGACTAGGGCCGGCTCCTTTTGGGCTAGGGCCRRCTCCTTTTGGGCTAGGGCCGGCTCCTTACTTTATGCCTCCTCCCTTTTGTCTAACTTAGTAGGCCGAAGCCTACATTCCAACACTAGCAAAAGATTTATAGCAACTGTCCACTATGCTCAGATGCTGAAATTCTAATTGTCTAAACTGGCATGGATGAAAGCTCAAAATGCTGGCTTGTTTACAATTTTTTCTATACAGGTCAAGCAATCTTTGGAGGAGCTGAAGTATAGAATGGATAGTTTTAAGGTTAGTTATCATAACATACATTTTTGCTCTTTCATGGCTCGTTAATTTGCATTTGCTTACTTGTTTGCCTGCCTTTCCAAATTAAGTATATTTGCTTCTTGTTTGCTTGGCTTTCCAAATTAAGTCTATGATGGTTGTTTTTCTGTTACAGGTCAAGTAATTTAGTAATTGTCCTCTATATTAGCTCATTCATTTGTGATTAAAGTATAAAACATGCAATGGTTTTATGTGAAGAGTTTAAAATGAGCATCTCTATGACTCTACTTCTTTTGTGAACTTCAAATTACAATTAGGGGAGATGTCACATAGGCTGTTACATGGATTTGGCAATTCAATGACGTATCCAAGATTATCACGCTTCTCAATTTGATTTAAACTTATTTAACAATACACTGACATATCCCATATTCTCAATTCGCTTTAAATAGATATGACAATATACTATCTGTTAAACAAGTGAAATTGAATTTTTTGAAGGTTTAGGATGTCCGTAATGAGCTTTTTGTGTACGTCTGTAGGTAACTTAATGAAATGTTTGTTTTGGATGATAAGATAATTTATTTCGGAATTATTTGTGAACTAATAATTTAGTTTGGTTAAAATAGCATGATAATATAATTGAAGTTACTGTAAAAATAAAAAATATGTGGGCATAATTTGTAACGTTAATAAATATAAAGGTTGGGGCTGGTTCAAAGAAGAAGGCTAAATATCGTGACAAGGGAAGGTTAAGAGAAGATCCATATATGAATTATGGAAAATATCTATTTGAAGATGCATATTAGCATATATGAACCGACGTTACAGATTATTCATATGGGTCCACATATGCATCTTCAAATGGATTTTCTCAATGATTTAGATATAAACCTTCCCTTCTTACCTTCTCATCATATTTAGCCTTCATATTTGAACTTCCCACTATAAAGGTATTATTGAAAATCTGTATGTTATGTTTTGATATAAAAAATAGTGTAATTGATAGATTATGAAAATAATCTCAAGCAAATATTTTATTTTTATGTAATTATCCTATCGATATAGTTAGGGGAAGTCGAATAAAATAACCAATCTCCCTAATCAGGTTCACTTTTTAGCCACTTTTGGAACCAAATTATCATTTTAGTTAGAGTTTATGCAAATGTTGTACACATTTGCTTAAAGCCTATTTTCAGATTAGAAAGAAAAAAAAAGCTTTATGCAAATGGGGTCCTTATGCAGATTTGTGTAAAGATTTTTTTTCTTTTTTTTAATCTGAAATTTGTGTGAAGCATTTGCGATAAACTCAGGATAAATTGGGAATTCGATTGAAAAAATGGCTAAAAAGTGAATTTGATGGGAGATCGGCTATTTTGAAAAATTTCCCTATAGCTAGAAGTTTGCTTTATGTCTTCATCGAAGCCTACTTTACAGGCCTTGTTGTACCATGTATATGAACCATCAATTGCTAATGAAATAATAGTAGATTTGCTTGAGATTATTTTTATAATCTATGATTAATATATTGGAGATAGATTAATGTTTGCACCATTTTTTGCATGGAAATAATGAAACGTAGAGTAATACATTGGAAATCCTGTTGGTATCAGACATTTTGTTATTCTTTGGTGGTTGGGTGGTGCAGCCAGAACTAAGGGACATGGCTAGTGAGACTCTTGAAGAGGAGCTCCAAGCTCTTATGTCTGATAAATGTGGTGAAACCGAGTATCAGGAATCTTTGCAAAACCGAATCGACACTATTAAGGTAAATTTGCCATTGAATATGAGCCGGTTAGAGTTAGAGCAGCTCCAACAGATTCTCCAAAATTTCTTTTTATTATGGATATTACAACATTAATTATATATTACTAACATATTTCTACGATTAACATAATATAGGTGGTGTTTGGGATTTGCTTATTTGAATTGAAACAACTTATACTTTTCTACAAAAATCCTTATCAACTTATTATAAGTTAGAATGATTTAACTTCTTCAAAAACTCCTTATTACCGGTTTGGTAATGGTATAAGCCGTTTATCCAAATACTTAAAAGTGCTTATTACCAGTACCACATCGGAATAAGTCAATAAGTTGATTTTATAAGCAATCCCAAACACCCCCATAGTTTTTCTCTTCTAAACATTTAACATCAAGATTTCTTATTGTAAAGTATAAGAAAATTTTATTTCTCTTTCATGGTAATCATTTTTGGGGAGTTCTCCAAGTTTGAAGAATTTCACGCTCTCTCTCATAGTTTCTTCATTTAAGGAGAAAGTTTTTGAGAATATGTTGGAACACAAATTTGCTAAAATCTCCATTTTGGAGAATCTGTTGAAGATGCTCTTATGTAGATTAGAAGTTTAAAAATATAGCAGTTCAATTCATCCCAAAAAAGTTGGGCTGAAAAGCTTACTACTAGGGAATTTTTTTTTTACATTTTTTGTTCGGTATTATTTAGGGCAAAATGCAACAAAGTTTGGTTCAGTTCCTATTCAGTGTAACTGATTTTTTTTAATTGATATAACAAAGTTTCTAGATTTTCTATTTTATACCCATTTTGACCAGTTTAACAGTTGATCTTGTAGCATTTGATGACGTGGATACTCGTTTACGACGAAGTGGACGATAAACCTGACATCCATGTCATCAAATGTTACGAGTTCAGCAAGTTACCGGTTAAAATGGGTAAAAAAATAGAATTTTTTGAAACTTTACTACAGTAGATAGGAAAATCCGAAACTTTGTTACATTGAGAACAAAAATTGTTACGTTAAATAGAAACTAAGGGGGCCGTTTACCAAACGCTTACCCGGGTAAGCGCTTACCAAGTAACATTACCTCACCGGATGAATATAGTAAGGACCAAGAATCTTACCCGGTAAGTGAGGATGACGACTCTTACCACGGTAAGCGCTTACCGGGTAAATTGTTGTATACTATGTCGTTTTGGTGGACTAAAATCTTACCCGGCAAGTACATAATAGTGTTAAATTTTACCGATAAGTACTTACCGGGTAAGTGTTTGATAAACGGCCCCTAAGACAAACTTCATTACATTTTGATGCATTTTGTCGTATTATTTATACTGAAATAGTAACTCACAAAGACTCGGTTACATCTTTGTGAGGGGGATATCTTGGAGCAACCTGTGAACTTAATCTTTTTTGACCAAAAGATAACGTGAGTCAAGGAATGTAAGAAATGGCTACATATAAAACTTCCCTTCTTAACTATAGCTAAGAGCCATGGTGCACCAGGGTCTGGTCCAAAATGCTAAGCTGCATTCATAATGATCTGTTCTGTTTAACAGGGAATTTCGGACACGATTAACTGTGTTTGTGGAGAGGAGTACAAAGTAGAAGTGGATCTTTGCGTATAATAGAAACATCTAAATACGCTCGAAAAACTGCTGGTAAATGTGAATTCGTGCTATACTTTGCTACTTCAAAATTAGGTTTTTTGAAGTTCTATGATCAATTGTTTGTGGATGGCTAAAACTGGATTTTGGGGGTCACAACATCCAAATTTGACCAAGAAATAGTTTAAATTTTGATCAAGAATTTTAAACACGATTTGAACATTCAAGATTCTATGAGTATCTTTCAATAAGGTATGTATGACCAGATAGTTAGAAACTTGATTATGGGGACGTTTACCTAAACACTTACTCAGTAAGCACTTATCGATAAAATTCAACATTATCGCTTACTTACCGGGTAAGATTTCATTCACTAAAAAGCATCGTATGCAACAATTTATCCCGGTAAGCGCTAACCATGGTAAGAGTCGTCATCTTCACTTACCGGGTAAGACTCTTGATTCTTGCTTTCGCTCTTACCAAGTAAGATTCTTAGTTCTTGTCATATTCATCCGGTAAAGTAAAGTGACTTGGTAGGTGCTTACTCGGGTAAGCGTTTGGTAAACGGCACCTATGACATGTCTGGACCAACTTGTATTCAACTCAATTAATCATTCAATCCAATTGGAACCTAAAGAACAACCAAGAAATACAAAGCAACTTTTGTAACGATCAAGTTTAAGGAATTCTCTTCTTTGTTTTTTGAAAATCTGAATTCCTTATTTACGAGAAGTGCATAACTCAAAAAGATTGTTGAAAGATTAAACCTTTTAATCAGAAATGCAAGAAGAGAATCATACCTGGAATAAACTTGCAATGATGATGAGAATCAAACTGACTCATTTAATGCACCGGTGGATCTTGAAAAGCCACACAAAGCTTGTTGTTCATGTATACGACTTAAAACAATAATGAAAACAACATAATCAGTTTATACAGAAAATGGTTTATAACCAATAACTTATAAGTTCGTTGTTACCGTCATGCTTCAAGAGCATCATGTGAGAGACAAATCAAATTAATAAGTGTTTGCTAAGTGGCTGACTTAAAAGTCCAGTGCCCACAAAGAGCTCAATCCTCAAAGGAATTGTAACTCTTATTTGCGATTATCATACTCTAAGCCATTCAGGTCATTTGTGAGATTAGTCGGTGCACATAAGTTGGTCCAAAAACCTACAGTTAGTAAAAAAAGAAGATATAGTTATGTAACTTTTGTCAAAATGATGAAATCATTAATATGTGGAATTTAAAGAATTCCATCGATTTCAAGAAATGAACCAACAAAGGAATTGACTATTCCAATTTCTTGAAAATCCCATAGATGAATCAAACAACACCTTAAAATTTGATATTGGTACCAAAACTAACAATTTAAAATTTCTCTTTTTTATGTAATTTTTTTAAATAATTTTTTTTATTTTTGGTTTAATAATATAATTTTTTATAAAGATAATATTTAAGTATTTTGTTAGATATTAATGATTATCCTAATTATATTTTAGATTTTTTATATTTGAAATTAGATGTTTATCCTCTATTTGATTTTGTTTATCCATAGTTAGTTTCACGAGTTCAAACATGGAGCTTTAATAAATTGTATCTACGTAAAAGTTACTTGTAATATTAAATTTTAAGTAATATGTATCAGTAAGCAGTACTTAATGCATAAAAAATAGTTTTTAAGAGTTTTTGTCAAATGCTTTATAATATAGTATAGATAGATTATATCAATTGAGCATTGTAATAATTCTTAGCAGAAAAAAGAAGAAGATTATTTAAAAAAATCTTGTTTCTATATACAAATAAATATTGAAATAATTTGATTAATATGATTGATCATAATGTCATAATTTTCAATTTTGGGTGTCATTATGTAAAAAAAAAAAAGAATCACAGGGACTTGTAATGACAACTTATCCAACCTTGGGGGGTGGAATCAAGAAAAAAAGCTTCTCCAAAGCGGTGAGCAATTCTACAAGCTTCGCCTTTCATGCCCTGCGTTTCTTCCTTGGTATGCTGACACACTCGCAGTGAGCGAAGGATCCGATAGACGAGACTGGTTTTGAATTATAGAAATGTTCAAGAAATCGGTGGAAGCAAAATCGCAGCAGCGATTATCGGGTGCCGACCGTAAGAAATTGAAGCGAACCATCAAAGAACGGTTTCCGAATGCTTCCGATTCCGACCTCGACACCTTAATTCCACCTAAGGTTTGTTTCATTTTCATTTCTTTCTATTCGTATGATATATTCAAAGGGGTTTCTTTCTGTTTATTTATTTATTTTGGTTGATAACAAGTTCATCTTTTTTCATTGAATCACTGTATTATAGTGAATGGTGAATTGGTGATGGTGTAGTTTCGATGTTTTATTTGGATTTAGTTGCTTTAAAATCTCATTGTGGGTTCTAATTGTACGTATTTTGAGTCGGGTTCTCTTTTAAATGGATGAAATATTTGGGTGATTATATTGGTTTGGCTGTAAGATTAACTCTTAATCAGTAATGGGTTGCAATGATTATCGCCAATCATGAAGCAACATGTTCTTGACTGAAGGTGGCAATGTGATGTTTAAGACACAGACATTTGCTTCAATTTGGGAGAAATCAGTTAGGGAAAACTCGACTAATGTTAAGTGTGTAAGTTTTAATAGAAATAAGCTTTGTGTGTAAATGAGTGGACGAAGATGATTTTATATGAAAAGAGAGAAGGCAGAGTTACATTTGAGTACTATAAACTGTTTACTATCTGTTATTAAGTAAAATTGTCTCATAGGGTTTTACTTGACTTGTATCCGTGATTCTTTCTCTACTTTAGGCGTAAACATAGCGTGCTACTGCTACCCAAACATGGAATATAAGGAATTCCTTAGTTTTGCGCCATCTTTGTGGCTTCTATCTTTTACAACACACATTTTCATACCGGTTGACATGTTACCACTAATGGACGTGGATAGTCTTCATTAATAAATGTTGCCTAGCCCTTGAGAGAGACAAAGTCGATAAACTATTTCTCTATATGATTGAACCAAATAGGAATTATCATGGGCAAATGGGACAAAGCTTCCAATGTTGTATATCATGACAAAGCAATGAGCGAGGGACCCAGAGATTGCCAAGCAGCTTCACCTTTAAGGTGAATCAAAGGCCCACAAAGTCGCTTGATGTCTTTTTAGCCGAATTCCACCAAGGGATTTTTTTAAAGTTTTTTGGTTGATTTCAAGGGACATTTTCGGTTTTTTGGTTGATGCATTTGTATCTTCTGATATCTCAGAGCACCTTTCGAAGTTTAGGGTGTGCACCTCTCATACCGAAAAAGAAGTCTACTTCTGAAAATCAATTGAGCGCGTGGACAGGACCCCACTGGGGCCTTCATAGGCCGCCCTGAAACAACAACTAGCCTATCTATCTAATTTTCAAAGAAAGCTACCATGTAAATTGTTCCGCTTCTTTATGTTAATAATTAATGGAATAATTCTCTTATTGGACATCTAATAAAATTGAATTTGCTTTTAGGTGCTTGTTGTTTTACGCTTATGCATGATTGCTGTGAAAGATGTCATATGAAGCTGTTAACTTACATGTCGTTTTTCATTTATATTGATCGAAGAATATTGATTTTAGATGGAAGTTACATGTAACTATGTTATGGGTTTATTGCAGGTAGAGATAACTGTCTCGAAGCACCCAAATCGTGTTCTTATTTACAGTTTGGAAGGTGGATGGCCAATGTTCTTTGATGTTGATAGCAGAGGCACGTCGATATTTCCAACAGGTATGCAACTACAACAAATTCTTGGAAAAGAGTTAAACATACCTTTGGCATTCATATGACTACAAAATTGTTATTACAATTTCCTTTTAAGGTTGTTCATTGTAAAACATATACATTTTATTATGGCCTTGGAAGTGCGATAGTACTTGAGTTCAAGAATAAATTTCTAAATTTTATGATTTTGGAATATTGCTTGGTCCAAACGCCATGGGGGTCTTTTTTTGTATTATATATCATTTGGGTTACATTTGTCATTTGCAACACACACACACACGCACGCACGCACACATATATATAATCATGTAAAATATCAATAATTTTTTGTATCAGCACAAGTATTTAGATTCATGCATTGGACCTACAATAGTTTCTATATCAAGTATACGACAATCTGTTTTTATTATAATATTTTATTCCTTGGTCCATGAGTCAACCTGGTACTTCATTTACACGGTAATATATAAACATAATTTCTACCATTAATCTCCACATGATGTTGATTCTAGACTTTGGCGACCTTCTAAAGTCTTAAACGAGCCCTTTTAAGTAGCTCGACTTTTGTCAATAGCATGCCATATTCTTTGGCTATTGGTTGTAGCCAGTAGCCTTGCCATTCATATGCGATTTTGTTGTTGTTCAGTGTTGCCATTCATCACGATGTTTTTGGTGCTAGTCGCTGTGATCCTTTCTAAAATCTCTGTTGGATTATGTTGTTGCTATCTTATACATGATTCCTGGATGCCAACCACAACTCTATTGAACCCTCAAATCTATGTGCAATCGTTTTTAGGTGACTTTGGCCTGTGTGACTTCATTACCTTTATGAGAGGCCTTTTTCCGCATTCATATTGCTAGTTTTGTTAACATATTAAATATATTTATGGTCAGAGTGAACTTAATTTATTATAAAGTCTAACTCCCGTCTTGACCAATGACCAATATAGGTCTTGGATTGTAGGCTTTCTTTATTCACTTCTTTCTTCTTGATCAATTTATTTTCAACGATGTACAATCTACTCCCAGTGCTACACTAATGCAATCATGTATATCTTGTGTCTATCTTTCTTTATGTGTTCCATCTTTGATGATTGACTATGATACTTCTGATCATATGACTTCAATATGAACACTCTATCTTTTTTACATCCCTTTCGTATCACTTGCTATAGGCCAGCCAATGGTTTATTAAATTTCTGAAAATTTACCTTTATTGCATTTTTGATACACGTGTATCTATGAGCAATCACTATATCTGTTAATAGACTTACAAAAAAAGTGCCCTTAACTGGATGCCGACATTCCCCTTTTCTTTATTCCCTTCCTTTCATGTTATTTGTCATGTCCCTAAAAATTATAGGTGCCACAATTCGACCTCATAAGTACTTACCTTCTTCTGATGTATGTCTTTTCACTCTTTGTAGTTCCTACTTCTTATAATCACATCCTCTTGCTAGGACTAGTCTCTTAAAAAAGTCATAAGATTCACCTCCAGTTGCATTTTATTCTTCTGCCTTCTAACTTTATATTCAATGACACTAACTTCGTACCAGAGACGGACCTAGAAAATTTTCCAAGTGGTGGCACCATTTGACTATAAGAAACAAATATAGGGATATTTTTCACAAAATCATCATTAGTCTGTTGGTTAGTTCATTGCTTTTCATATGTGAGGTCCTCTGTTCAAGTCTTTTATTGCAGTTTTATTCCAGAAACATAATAAATCTGAAATTAAAGGCTAAAAACTAAGAAAATGACACTAACGAGGTTCAAACTTGGGTCTGGGGTGGAAGAAAAGCCTTGCAAACCAACTTTACCAAGGGAAACTTGTGTTCTCATTGTAGTTTCAAAATATATACGGTGGCTCTTTTCACGACCCTATAATTTTTACACTACAACGGAGGACCGAAGTGGTGGCCTGTGCCACCACATGCACCACTTGGGTTCATCCCTGCTTTGTACCATTAGTTCTCCCAAGATTTCAACTCATGGATTCATGGTCATGATTTTTGGGATCTTTTAATCCAAATGCTCAAGCCACCAACGTGAGATAAGCCTGGAAACCAACCATATACTTATTTGGATGCTGTTGAAGGTCACCAACTTCTTAAAGCTTTCTATTTATGATTAAAAAGAAATTGCGGGAAAAAAGTGAAGAAAGCAAAGTGGCAAAAAGAAAGGAAGATGGAGGATTAAAAGAGCTATTAATGTGGCTATTTGCACCAATCCAGCCACAAAGGGTGCTGGAGAGGATATAGATCCACAAAGATTTGATGGTTCAAGTTCAACTCAATGTGTAAAAGTAAAAAAGTTATCATTTATAAATGTTTTCAATGCTAGTGTTGCTACATATATATTTTGCTACATATATATTCATATTAAACTTGGTACTCAAAATTATTTAATGGCGGACATCTTACTAGTTTTTGTGTTTTATATTGACTATTGAACATGTTAATGGATGGAAGAGGCTGTCGGTTTTCTTTCATCTTCTTTGAAGATTGAATTCTTTTGTAAACTTGGAATATTTGGCAGGACGCTTTCTAAAGTTTTTATTCTGAAAATGCAGTCTTTGCACTATGGAAAGTTCCTCATCTTCTACCTGCTTTCATTCTGAAAGGAGGTGAGGTTTCACGTTATGTGATTGGAGGGGCAGATCTGATGTTTCCTGGTATCAGTATAGATTCAGAGGGTCTGCCTGAGTTTTTAGCTGGGGAGACATGGGCCGTTAAAGTGCCTGGTAATCCAGCTCCAATCGCGGTGAGCTATCTTTCTTTTTTCAAACTTCCCCAAAAATATTATTGGTAAATGTTTAAATATGTAAAAGTTATTTTCTTTTTTCTTCTTGGTAGGTTGGGTCTACCTGCATGAGCAGCTCAGAGGCTCTAAAAGCTGGTCTCCGTGGAAAGGCTTTAAAGATAAACCATCACTATCGGGATGCACTTTGGTAAATATAGCATAGAACCTGTTGATATTCAATTCTTTAGTGGGTTTGTGCAAAAATTTATTTTTTATAAACCTTTCTTTTTAGGGAATCAGCTGAAGGTCGATATGTGCCCAATGATGGCTTTCTGGAAGATGTAGTGTTTGAGGATCCGTCTCTGTCGACTACTTCTCAGCAATTTGAGTTGTCACATGCTGATGCTGCAAATCATAACAGTGATGCAGATAACGGAGAATTAGAGGCGGGTATGGATGGCCCAGATGCTAGTTATCCTGATTCATCTACGAAAATGCAGGCAAACCCGAATATTGCCCAACAAGTAACAACTGATCTTGGTGATCTGAAGGTGATGGAAAATGTTCAAAGTGATAAGGGCATTGTTGAGGATCAACATACGCTTTCGGTTGAGGATATAGATGCACTTTTGGACAAATGCCTTCTGCAAGCATTTTATACTACCCTTAAGGATAAAGATCTTCCTATTGCTGGAAGTACATTATGGTATGAATGAAATTTAAATTTTGTAAGCCATGTACTTATCTTTCCAACAGCCTAGTTGTGTTTTAGCACGTGCAGTTTCGGAAGAATGGTATGATTGGTTCTGGAACTCCAGATCCAATGATCCTTTCCTGATATTATATTCATGAAAATTGTCATTGATTCAAGTCTCTCTATATTATAATTACTACAATTGTGATATAATTAGATTTTCTCAAAATGAAAAAGGAAAAAGAAGATATATATTATATATATATATATATAGATATAGATATAGATATAGATATACACTAATGGATTTCAGTGAGTATATACATCAATGCATATATACTTGCATACATAGTAGATATGTATTGATGGATATACTCACATCAAAGGAATACATATTTTTATAGTGTATATGCATCAATGAATATGTAGGTTCTCATGGTTCTCAAATTTTTTGTGGTTCTCATGTGAACCTGAGCCTACACACACACACACACATATATATATATATAGAGAGAGAGAGCGAGAAAATTTCAAGTACAAACCCAATATTTGTTACAAGTTCGTGCAAACCAATCCAAATCATACAATGATTTTGATGTTAAGCTATGATTCATATTGTTTCACATGTTAAGTTTTTGTGTGTGTGTACGTGTGTTTCTATGTGAAACGTATATCGATGTTTTTTCCACACGCAAAACAGTCCTGAAGTTTCATATATGAAACAATATTGTATGAACACTGCATGTTTTTGACATAAGCATTGGGTTCCTATTTGATATGCCCTATGTATACTCTCTACATCTTAGTAAGTTTCTTCGTTGAGATGCAGGCTTTTATTCTTTCATCTCTATTAACATATCTCTGAATTTTATTGCCTACTTTCTTGTTAATCTGCGTTGTCTTTTATTTTTATACTTTTTGAGGCAAATTTGCACTTTTTAACACATAATTCAGTGAGGTCAGAAATGCGAGTTACCACATGTCTAATCTCTTACTTCCATTTCATCAATGCTTCCCCCTTCCATGCCACTATAATCGTATGAATGAAAAGGGACAAGATTTCATTTGGGTAGAGTGTATCCCACATAGATAGTTTGAGGTTTTTCCTTGATTAAATAATTAGAAAATATGCCAACATTTGCTTCTAGTTTTTGTTTCCACGACATAAAGCAGCAATCTTTTTGAGGCACAAGATATTATTCTGTTCAAATATTAGTATATTGTGGGGTTAATTCACCTACAATCATGTTACTTTCAAACGTTTGGACCCGAGTTCCTCTTAATTTTTTAACAACAGTGGACAATGGACATCATATTATACCTCTAAGATTGGGCTCATGCCTGCCATCACCAAAACGTTTTTTCGACCATATACAACGCACATGGCGCTTCTAAGGGTAAAGTTGTCTGTTCAAATAAAAAACCAGCCTCTTCTCTCTTTCTATTTCTTCATTTTTTTCATGTGTCTCCAATTAGAATTTGCTAATATTTATCTGTTAGAAATTCTGAACAGTTTGAAAATAGAACTTAGAATTTTAGACACTATACAAGAATCTTGTTTCGTATGTGTAATATTCCTGCACCTTGCACATAGTCCAAAATATGTTATTTTGGTAGTTCGTGTGGTATCTTGGAAGTAACGGGCTTTTGCCACTAGTTTTTTTTTCAAAACATGGTTATGGGTGCAAACAGGTGAAGTATGATGATTATTGATGTATTTAACTCTTGTTTTTATGCTAACATATTTATTTAATTTTATTGCCTGCTTCGTGTGTTGGTGTAGGGCGAATCATATATTACCTTGTAGGCCACCTGGCACCGTGTTGGATATTAAGAAGTCATCACACAAAAAGTTGTCAAAGTGGTTACAATCCAAGTCTTCTGAAGGACTGGTAATGTCTCGTTTTCATTCAGTTTTCATGTGCTGTTTTTCACATATGAAACATGTGTGAAAACAAAGTGATTATAAAGTGTTGTTTCATATGTGAAATGTTCAAGATTGTTTGTGTGGAAAAAACAGTTCTGAACGTTCCACATATGAAACAACAATGTATAAAGACTGCAATTTTCACACGTATATGAAAACTGTTCTCTAAGTTTGTATGATGTATTGGATTTGTAAAAGAAGGCGACTATATATTATATGTATATATAGAGAGATGGAGGTTCAGGGAAAAACCCTATAAAAAATGAAAATCTGAGGATCATCCTGAGTATCGTTCATTTGCATGTTATGCACATGTGCATACAAGTAATTGAAGATGTTTCATGGCTTCTTTGCACATGTGCATATTAGAAAATTTACTTGCATGCACATGTACATAACGTATAAATGAACGGTTACTGTAGTGTTCCTTAGTTTCACTTTTTTGCGGTTTTTCCCTAAATCTGACTATATATATATATATATATATATAGTGTGTGTGTGTGTGTGTGCACACATATTTATAGACATGCCACACACATACATACATACACACATGATACATACATGCATCAATGTGGTTGGACTTTCAGTATGACATGCTTTTCAAATTTAAATCTCTATCAATCAGGTGAGAGAGCTGAATAAAAATAACTGTCCAAATTTTTATTTTAGTTTGTTCTAGAATAAGTGACCACTTTCAAAAGGAAGTGTCTGTTTTCCATTTCTACCCTTAATTATGAGACGGAGGAATCCATTACTCCTCCTTTTACTAAAGGGTAATATTGTCTTTTAGTCAAATAAAAGGTGTAATACTTGCACGTTTCTAAAACCGTGTCTCTTTTTCATAATGGACATTTATCTTGGGACAGAGGGAGTATGTTGTCTTTGTCTCATGTCGTGTTTATGTGACTGGCAGATTTCATCGAAAGAAGATAAGTATAAAAAAGAAGTTATGGTTTTGGCTGTTAACCGCAAGCATCTGGATTACACATCTTTTAAGCCTGAAAAGCAACAGGTGGAGAAAACCGAACAAACCGTTGATCCTGCTAATGAAGCAGATATCAACCGAATGATGGAGGTTGTGGAGATTTACAAACCGAGTGTGCACGTAAATCCCATTTTCACTTCAGTTGGAGCCGATACACGCCAACTTTATAGTGCATCGGAAGCCAGCGAAGTTGTTTTTGCTTATGTTGAAAAAGAAAACCTGGTAAGACCAACAAACAAGTCGGTCGTGGTTCTAGATGCGATTTTGTGCGATTCTTTATTTAAGGGCGCGATAAAGAAAGGTTCCACATATCCTTCTGAAATACATAAGAAGGATTTAGCGCCAACGTTTATAAGTAGAATGCAAGCGCATCACCAAGTGACAAGAGGAAAAGAGTCCGTTGTGCGGAAAGGTGGATTAAAACCGTTGCAGATAATGACTGAACGGAGGCAAGGGAACAAGAAAGTGACGAAGCTCTCGGGGATGGAATCTTTTTTGATTGATGCTGAGCCATTGGCATCGGAACTGCAGAAGAAGTTTGCTTGTAGCACATCCATTACGGAATTGCCAGGTATGTCGGCATTTACGTCTATGAATAAGCTTGATTTAATCCAATTTCTTTTACAGATTCTATTAAAAAATATACGCAGCTTTGTATCTTTGCGCACTTTTGCCAGTCGGGATCGGGTTTTTAGAATAAATGACTTCACAAGTTGTAAGTGTGTGGGTCCGTTCGGTACAGAGACAGGACTGGAAAGGCGAGAGTGAGGCAGAACTGTGAAAGGTTTTAGGGTTTTAATTTGACATGGGTAGTTTAGTAATTTACCAATTTTGTGCCATCTCTATGATTTTTGTTCCACCTGGCATTTTTTATCCTATTTTGTTACATATAATATAATATGTTTCACTTTTATCTTTTTAAATAAAAATAAAAAGACTAAATTGCCCCTCATGTGATGGGCACACGATGCATTTAACGAAGCTCTTTAACGGTGTTCAGTGAATATGGACCACTAGTGTATTTTATTAAACTTTAAGGGCCAAAACGAAAAAACAACCATAGATAAAGGACCAAGAATGTTTGGTTAGAAGTATTAAACAATTATTAATGGGATTGAACATAATAGAAACCGTTTTGGTTTCTATATAATATAATGAGTTCATTCTCCATAACCCTAGATTTTCATTCCAGGTTAAACTGGAGTTCGTCTGCCTGAACCAAACAACCCCTGACACTGTATTGAATAATCTACTGGTTTGTGTAGAAATAATTGTAATGTTTGCAACCATTCGGGCGGTTTAATTCATTGCGACTTCCCAACAAAGCAGTATAGACTCAAATCAAACAAACCCAGTATATTCTACCCAAAGACATATGTCGGGTGTTTTTGAGTTTTCGCTAATTGTGGAATGTTCGTGTTGTAACCAGGGAAGAAGGGATATGAGATTCTGGTTCAAGGCGGGGTGATCGATGTTCTTGCTAGATATCTTGTCGAGCAATATGGGATACCGAAGAAATACATCGAGGTTCTTGATAAAACAGCCAGGAAGTGAAGTTGTTCAAATTATCATGTATTATTGTTCTTTGTTGGAGTTGCTACTACTTTTGAATGACTGACCCTGCTAGCTACTGTTATGATATGCATGATTTCACTTAGTTGCATCATATACAACTATACCAACCCCATGATTCATGTTTTAAAGGCTCGTTTTTGAGATAGAGGAAATGTCTGCTTACATTTTAATTTATCGTATATATATATATATATATATATATATATATATATATATATATATAGTTCGTTTCAAATGCAACCCATTGTATTTGTATAATTAATGCAATTCAATAAATTGAGATATTTATGAAAATGATTAGAGTTCATTTATTATGATTTGAATATTTATGGAAGATGAATATGATTCATTAATTATAATCAATACTTTATATTAGGAAACAATCAAAACTTCTATGAAATCACATATTAATCAAATTAAATGAATGATTGAGATTGGGTTGTACTGGTTGTATAAATATAAAGAGTTGTATAATAACCCATATATATATATATATACACACACACACCCCATAAGAGTATTCGTGTAATGCAGCAAGACACGTATCGATTTTAATGTTTTATTTTATGATCTGTCTTTGTCAATGTTATAATACGATTTTATATGTTTTTAAGGAAACAATAATGATTTTATTTTTGAATAAAATATAAATTTGAAGATATCATAAAAATTTGAAAAAAAATATATCAATGTTAATATCAAATCAACTCTTTAAAAGTTCTCATTGTTTATGTAATTTCTTTAATTTATTTTTTAATTTAAGTTTAATACCGAAATAATTTATTTTTGGTTTAATATTATAAATTTTATAAAGATAATAATTAAGTATTTTGTTAGAATTCAATGATTATCCTAATTATATTTTAGATTTTTTATAT